ATTAAAGGATTGGTTTCACCTGCTTGGTGCCTTTAAAAGCTGGATGAATCCAAGATGGCTCTCTCCTTCTCCCTCCTGGAAGGCTGGAGCCTTTCAGGTCTCTCCTGGTTTGGTTTGGTTTGGTTTGGTTTGATTTGATTATGCTGAGTTTAGCCTGGGTTTGTAGACCTTACTATTAGTTTTCCTTTGTCGAATGTTTTCAATAAATTACTCATTTACTTTAAAAGCTGTTCCTGTGTCAACCTCCCTTCTTTGTTATGCTCTTCAACGAGCTGGGCATAACACTATAAAAAGAAAAAAGAAAAAGAAAAAAAGGAAAACTGTTCCTAAATAACATATCTGGCAAGTTGCAAATATGTTGCTATTGAATGGATTGCTAAAATATTCACTGAAAATAGATTTCAAAACATTCAGTCATTCAATAGAATATTCACTGGGAGTGATTGCAGCATTACTGAATGTTTTATGGTTACACTGACTCGTGTTTATTAAGATTTAACTGAAACCACGATTGTTCCCTAATTAAAGTCCTCTTGTTGCCTAAACATAACCGTAGAAACAGGAGGCTGGTGTCAAAGTTCTGCGTTTTGTATGCCCACCATCAGCCCCAAGCACCTCCGTGGGACTCTGGTGCAGTGGTTTTGTGTGTGTGTGTGTGTGTGTGTGTGTGTGTGTGTGTGTGTACCTCTGTCCAAACAGCAGTGTGGACCTGGTCTCTGCGTCATTAAAAGCAGAAGGTGAGCAGCAGATCACCATGGTGGTCCTACAGTTTCCTCCCAGGGAGTCCTGCAGGATCCTGGTCATCTTACTGTCTCTGTACGGCACATAGGTCTGACAGAGGACACGGACCAGAAGAAACATTTAAAGGCGTAGTTTTATTCAGGATATTTTCACATCACATGCTGCATCAACAATAATCAAGCCATACATGTGGATGCGTAGTGGGTCATTTAAAAGACTGGATCACACCACGGCCTTGTACTTACAAAGTCCAAGAAGTTTTAATAATTTCATTCATATCAAACTGATATATTAATGTTTAAATAAGCAGGATCAGCAACTCAGAGAGGCGGTGGTTCCTGTCAGAGTTTCTGGTTCAGTGACATCAGGTGCATCCACTGGGAACAGTAAGGTGAACTTTAATAAACTCTCATGTGTGACACCTGTCACTGTTAGAGGATCTTTACCCACAACACTTAAGATGCAACATGACTGGAATCATTTTAAACTCAAATCATATAATATGCACATGTTGTCTTTAACCCTAAGCCAAACACAGCTAAGGTTATAGAACAGTCATGGCTAAAATAAACATCAGTTATTGCATGAACAACAGAAACAAGCAGTCCAATGTTTTGTCGACCCACCCATCCTCCCTGACCTCCTCCCTACATAGACGTTATTTCTGTATAACTACACTACCTGATGTGCTATTTTGCCGTCTTGTCATTTTGGGGCTTTTGCTAAACCGTGCACAATAATAAGGCTCCTTTTTGTTATGACAGGACTGTTTCTATTCAACACAATCATCACAGATTCTTTAAATCATTCCATGTTTTCTCCTCTTCTTTGCAGCAACACTATTTGAAAACTTGGGATCACATTTTACATACAGGCTGCTATATTGGGATCATCAACACCACTATTTTGTTTTAACCAAGAAGGACTGCCTCACCGAGCCCTCTGCCAGAGCTGAGATGACATTTCCCAGTGAAGACAAGGACTTGTTGATCATCTTGGCCTCATCCAGCACCGTGCCCTCCGCTCCAGTTTTACCCACCTTTGAAACACAAAAACACCAGAATTCTCTTAATCCTCACAATGAAACTGAAACCATACTGTATAATCAGAAACACTGTTATTATATGGCTGAAATATTTTAAAAACAATATTATAACTAATTAAAAATTGGTCATGATTCTTCAAAACCCAGTCAAATATTACAAAAATGGTTAATCAGTTACTAGAGGATACAAGATGAGATTAATAAAATAAGGTTAACAAACTATGTTAATGACTTCAACGGCGCCTAGTGCTATCACCTATTTGCTAACAGCTTATGCTTAGACTTTTTTTATTGTCATTACACAAAAACACAACCATGAATCTGGCAACAAAACATTGCTGCTTGACTACTGGAGTACACAGAACTGGAGCTTGTGAAGCAGTGACTTGTCAATAAATACTGTGAACATATGACTATATATATATATATATGTATATGTGTGTGTGTATATATATATATATATAACAAAAACTAGTGCAATGGCAAAAGAGCTAGATATAAACAGTATAAAAATAACAGTGTATTGTCAAAAAGTATAAGGAGGAAAACTATAAACACAATGAAAATAACAGTGTCAGAATATATATATGAAATATTATACAGTGTACTGATGAAAGGTTACTGTAATGTCCCTGAAAGGAAACAGCAGCTGAGAGAAAATTTCATTTAACTTTCATTACATAAATCCATCCAGTACACATGAATACACTGTGTCACTTAGGGAAAAGAGAATCAGAAGAAAAGATCTGTTCACTCCTAGAAAGTCAAGTTTCACGTTAACGAGTCAAAAATGACTCTTTAAAATATTATTGGTTCAGCTCTGAGGTGCAAAATGTTTGTGAATTTGAAAAGAAATACATGTACAGAAACTACAGAAACACACAGAAGAGCAGAGAGATGTGGAGGAGGAGTGAACGAGAGTCGTACTTTTTCACTTCCAGCCAGATCGACGAGGTAGAGCTTCCCGGTGAGTTTCTGTTCAGTCTGACTGTTTTCCTGCTTGATGTTGATGAGGAAGATGCTGTGACTCCTGGAGCTGTGCTCGTTCATGTCTGAGATGTGTCAACACAAACAAAACAGGAATATTGTTGCGCAAAACACAGAGAGTCGGACATTCACTGTCTTTTCCAGAGCGGCTGCAGGAGCAGGACACTGAACATTGTCAGGGACTCCTCACACCGTCTCCATGAACTGTTTGAACTGCTGCCATCAGGAAAACGTTTCCAGAGCACTAAAGGAAGAACCTCCAGAATGATCAACATCTCATACCACAAGCTGTCAGAATGCTGAACTGCTGATCCAGATATGCAAACACTTCTTTATTTAAATTGCTTTAAGTTATTGGATCATGAAGAAACGCTCTCTCATCGTTCCTGTACGACTGTGTCTGTACAGCAAAATGACAATAAACTTGATTTGATTTGATTTGATTTTAGCTCTGTTTTTGGTCTCTACCAACTCCTGAAGGAAATATTTTACTCCTCAGCTGCTACATGCTCTGCTGTGTTCACCAGGGAGCCTAACTTTGTCTGTCTGCTGTGCAATAACGAGCCAAATAATATTAAATCATCCTGTAAAGCTAAAGAGACTTGCAGAATCAGGTGATAATTCTCAGTTGATTTTTCACTACCAGCAACATCTTTCACAAGCACATAGTCATGTCATCTATTGTTTCTGCAAAACATTGGATTACAGCTTTTTTCAAGTCCCTCTCTGGCTCATTCCAGTCATTGTATTTCCCCGGAGGCTCTGGGAATGACTAAAGTAGTCTTGTCTGAGCAGGGTTTATAAGGAATAACTAGTTTTAAAAGGCCAGCTCAGTAATTCCAGGTTATATATCAACAAAAAAAACCAGCCCTTTAGTTGCTTTGGTATATGCAAGGGCAGAGAAATGCGAGTCAATGTTCTTATGCAGCACCAACTACCATGACTGGAGCACTTGATAACAACAAGTGTTTAAGTTCAGCAAATATTAGCTGCAGGACTGTGAAGCCAAGACCATAACGAAGTTAGTTAAACTACAGTTTTAGCCAAATGTCCACGATTAGAAATAATTAACAACCTTGGCCATTTTCACATCTTTTCCTTCCTGTTTGAGTGTGTATTCAGCACAGACGGTGTCTTGGCTGAGTGCGGTGACAGTCAGGAGACCTGCTGAGGCTGAACCCATGAGAGGCTGCAGCACTGAAGGCGCTCAGTGTCGGAACTCACTTGTGACGGCCACGTGTCTGTTGTTTTTGCCCTCGTCTATGGCGTCCATGACTTCGTCAGGACTGCACACAAAACGTTCGGTACACCCCTGGGGACACACACACATCACAAGGAAACGCTGTGTTCATCAGGCCCACAGCAGGAGAGCTTCACAGAGACGCTGTTATGAGTAGAGGAGACCATGAGCCACTGTGTCAGGCTCTCATAGGGGATTGTTCTAGAGTGAACTTATTACTTCATTTTCTCAGTGTTTTCAATATCTGTCTTGATTTCTTCATCTAGTTATATAAAGTTAGTTACAGTCTGCATTGGGTAGTGTACAGCATGTAACCCTGCATATACAATGTGTTGGTGGTTTATAACTTTTTTAAGGTATTCGTGGCAGGGATGAACTTGTGAGAAAATGATTATGGAACTCGGAGTTTGTCAGAAACAGTGTTACCCCCAAAGATGGATCATTAAGCAGCTCACCTTGACATAGGGCACCCTGTTTTTATCCTCATGTACAGAAAGGTTGGTCTTTGACACTGTGGAGGAAAATAAAAGTAAAGATCACTCCTTAATTAAACACACTGTCTGTATCGGGATCTGAGAGGCAGTGAGAAGAAGCCCAACACATACCATCCAACAAATCCTTGATTTTGTCCAAATAGATCTCAAAATATGACACCTACAAAACAAAAGCTTGCAGTTAGATTTAACCAAACCTGTGACATGTGACATTTAGAAACATGTGAACACCAGATCTTGAGGCTTCTGGTTGACATACTTTGATGTGAAACTCCAGGTTCTCATCCATGGAGTAAATGTAGTTGAAGATGTCTTGCACAATTCTTGGAATGATTCCCATCATGTCTGGGTCATGAAGTTTCCCCTTGAGGAGATAATCATAAAACATGCATAAGTCACAGAATCTCACAGTCACTATTTTTTTTTTTTATGCTTTCTGTTACCTCCATTGTGTGTGTTTTGCCGGATGATGTCTGCCCGTATGCAAATATTGTCCCGTTGTATCCATCCAGCACATCTGTACACATCAGGACAATTACCTATCGACATTGAGGTTTGGTCTTGTGTTTTTAGTGAGTCACTCGTTAACGTTACATCTGTACAGGTTTCTACTGCACAGCTCACCTTTGACAATCTTCTGAGCCACAGCGTTGTAGAACTGCACCTGAGTTGTGTTGGACTGGAACACACGGTCAAAGTGGTACGGTTTATCCTGTGAAGAAGAGACGACAGCCATGAGCAACAACAAAGCATGCTGTGAAGATTTTCCATTCTGCTACACAGCATCAGGCCTGTTTAATACCCAACAACTTAACAGGATTTTTAGTTTTCTTTTCTATGGACCTCTGACTATGAGAATAAAAGCAATAAGGTATGAAAAAATATGAATGTAAGGTATAAGCTCACAAAATAATTGTACACTGAAGCATAAAGTAAAGGTACTTTGAGTTCTAAAATGTACGGTGGCTAACATGGTATGACTCATTTATCTTGGTTTGCAAAGACAATAAGGTTCATTGTATTTGGCTTTGCAAAACAACAGAACAGAAATAGCACTCTGGCCTAACAAATGGAAAGTTAAATTCACAGAGAATAAATAGTCTGGTTCAATCTATATGAGTTTTCCTGCTAAACAGCCTTACCTGATAAAGCGTCACCAGTAGTTTCAGGCGGCTAATGTTACTTATCATCAGCTATTTAGGTTGATATTACTGTGTGAGTGGCATTATGGAGTCTGTTCACTGACTTCATGCTCTTCTTTACTGGTGTTATTTACTGCATTTGTCTGTGTTTTAGCATTTAGTTACCCCACAAAGTGGCCACATTATGCTGCTAACCAGCAACAAAAGCTGCATATCAACAGCAAGTGCAGCACATGGGATGTCATATTTAGTTATTCCTTCAAGGGCCCATTCAGTGAAAATCCTTTTTAATTGTGTTTTATGTTTGCTATAAACTTGGAGGTGTAAAATAAAAGCTGGTGGGATGTGAAGAGGTTTTCTTCTGTCATTCTTCGAGCCCCAAAGTCAGTGAGGGTTTGACCCAAGTGCTACGTATCACCATGAACCATGGAATCATGAATAGTCGTATTGCTCAAACTCAGGCTGTGTATAATCCTAAAGCTGAGGAATAATCATAGATGATAGAAATTTGAAGACTGATCTGGAACAAATGAACAGTTTTGTTCTTGTGTTTTAATGTCATCTGTTGAGAACAACTAAAGTCTGCTGGTGTTTCTCTCTGTGCTCACATACACTACATTTTAATACTGTATCATTCAAATGTGCAAAAATATTCAAGCCAAAAGTCCACCTTTACAAAATACTGAACAGAGTGCATGGTTTCTCTATATGATTTATTTAAACAGTCAGCATTCTGTGCAAATGGATTTCCCCACCAATGATTTAGTTCCACCATTTTATCTGAAAAGGCTTCAACTAAACACCTTCAAATCAAATTTTAAAACCTTATCAGTTACATGTCCAATGTGTGAGGCAGAAAAAACACAACTAAACAACGTCTCCTTTCTTTTAACTGCTTCATAAGACCAATCAAATCACCCGGTCTTTATACTCCTAAAATGCAACATCATGAACAAAAAACACAAATCATTTTCTGATAAAACCACATCAGTCGCTTCCAGCTGCACAGAACTCACATTTCTCATGTCGTGTATTTTAGAAAATCACACAAGATGGTGCATTCACTGACTTCAAGCCAAGTTTATCTTTAAACTTCTGGATCAAACAAACATTTCAGCCTTTTAGAATCACACACTAGTCGTGTCTGTCCCTCCTTCACATGTTTTTACATTCTCAGCTTGTGTTTAAAGATAAACCCCGAGAGTGAAAATCAGAGCGACACTGATGCAGTCATCTGAGTTACTTGTAACTAATCGATTACACGATTCCTTATGGGGGAAAACAAACTGCTATGTGCATTATGTCAACAGCAGAACACAGTATATGTTGATCGTGTGAATGAGGCTATTAATCCACAATGTTGGCCCAGTGAGTTTAAGGATTTAAACTTTACTAAATTCAGTGTTTTTCTGTTTGGTCCAAGTAAGAAGAAATTCTGAGACAACCCAGCATTATCAGGGAGAGTCAAGGCCAGCATACTGCTGCTCCACCAGCTGCTGCACACAGGTAATAAAATGGCCTCAAAGACGAGATTGTAATGCTAATGACACTAAACACAAGCAGACACAGCCCCATCTGTAACAAATGAGTCATCAGATCGGTGCAGTGCAATGAACAAACTGCAGAGTCTGCTGTTTCATGTACTGCACATATGATCTGTTAAATCTGCCTCCACGCTGTAACCAAATTAAGAGACAAAATAAACTTCCTTTGACAGCCTTCCATTTCCCACAGACTCCGTTTCCAGACATTGCGGCAACCAGTAGTCTCTGCTGGCAGACAAGTAAAATGTTGGTGCCGTTAGCTGAGGAGCAGTGACCTGCAGGTTGCTGAGATAAACCGTTCACTCTGCCTCTGCACAGCCCAGTTATCTCCTGGGCTCTGAGGTGAAACAGCTGGACTGTGAAGTGAATGGCAGTTTATGGGGACTCAGTTCAAACAAGCACAAAAATCCTTTTAATGTTTCTCCTTAAATAAGGAGGTGGTTTTGAGGAATAATCCATGTTCTGTTGTGAAATCAAAAGATTAAAGGCCAGTAAGTGCATAAATGACCCAAATCAACACTGAGTCATACGGAGAAGAGATTGTTGTCTGTTGTCATTGAAACCAAAACTCAGGTGTTAGTGGCTCCTTAGGATATAAGTATCTGGAACTCCCAACTAGTCAGTCAGAACTGATGAAGCCTCTTGGATGAGAGGTGAAGCGTCTTCAACTCAACTCAAGCAAGTCCAGTTGCTACGATTAATCTACCAGAAGTTGTCTGATGACACATCAATAGAAACCTTAGAATTTTTATTTAAGAATTTTAAGGAAAATATTGTCCATGGTCCTAAATCTTGTCATCTGCACTGCTCAGCACTGTGCTACAGAACATCCACACTTGTCCACATGCAGAAAGTGTTTATCAGTGAACCTGTGACTGAGAGTCAGCACCTCTGAACAAAGCTGAACAAAGATTCTTTTCATTTTCAGTGGGTTAAAAAAAGAGTGTTATTTCAGTATTTTTAGACAGCCATGACAACCACTAACTGGCTTATCTTACACTTGTTAAGCTGTATGTAAAAAATGAAGTTCAAGTAAACCTCACTGTTGTTTTCAGGAGCAGTGACTACATATCTTCCAAAATCTCCCTGATGTCCAGCTGGTTTTAGAAGTGGTGAGATGTAGATACATGATTCATTTATCAAGTTCAAGATGACATAAAGTGTGGAGATGCCGGGGATTGAACCCGGGGCCTCATACATGCAAAGCATGCGCTCTACCACTGAGCTCCATCCCCTGTGACGTCTATGAAAGCGTCTTCATTGATTCTCTTCCTCTTTCTCTACTCCTTCAGTTACGGTTTTTTTAACCCATAGAAAATGTTTTGGCCTCATTAGGAAACGTTTTCACTTGCTCTTTATTTATCTACGTGAAGAAGCCTGCACATTCACATCCAGAGACGGTTCAGCCATGTGCGCCCTCTCTGACTGAGAGTTGTCCGTTTGTTCATTACCAGAAGTATTAAGGTGGACTAGATGCACTACGGGGACGCAATAATATGTCCCAGACCCAGACTCAGCTCTCAGCTTCAGCATGTTACTATGTTGGCATTAGTCTAACATGCAGATACATTATCAGGCTAAGTTTAGCATTGAGCTTGAAGTGGGCCTGAGGCTGTAATGTAGATGCGCCTGAGGCTGACAACGTGAAGCTGAAACCGATGGAGTTTAGATAAAACAGAGTACAGCATCTTTATAAGCTCAGGCTGATATGCTGAAAGAGCTCCGTACTGCTGGTAGCATCCAGAGGTCCGTGCGTAAAAGCGCCAAGAACGTCGTTGCGCACGGCTTTGTCATTCCCTACAAAACCTTATATACATAAAGTGGAAGCACAAGAGCTCCACAACGTATTGTAATGCCAAAAAAACACCTTCAGAAGCTGGAAAACGACAGGAGACCAGAACTGTTGGCGTTAATATATGCGCTACTTTTGCACACAAACTTCTCTCTTTAACGTTTTCCTGGTGGACGAGCAAAAGTTTTGAACCTTAGTTATTTGGGGGAATCTGTGACAAGCAGAGTCCGATTAAAATGTCAGGAGATTTAACACAGTGGCCCACAGCACTGACGTTTAAGTGAACTTTCTGTGCAGTTTGTGGCTCCAAAATAAGCATTTTGAAACGAAGATTTAATGCAACGTCTGTGCGTTTTGTGATGAATGCAGCTAGGAGTTCTTGCACATTTCCTGATCATTTTCTACAACAGTGACTTTATCAGTTGTGCCACACACTCACCGCGATCACCACACAGTCCTCGCCCTTGAACTTGGGGATGTACTGGTCTCCTCGGGCCACCTCCGCGCTGTTCAGCGGCCTGAAACGGCACACCACTTTGATGGTACACTCCGCCGGGTCCGCCATGTCTGCCGCTGTGGATGGATGGAGAGCTCCGTCCTCTCTTCACAGCCACACGAACCAAAGCAAGCAGAGAGCCGGAGGAGGCCGCGCCCCGAACAGAACTGCTCCAGCTGCCCTTCAGCTGACTGGGACAATAATCTCTAATAAAATCGTAACGTAGGCACACTTGAAGCTGATATAAATTTATATCTTTAAATAAAAATTCCACCAGGATGGGGCAGAAGTTTCAACAAAATCATGCATCTATGAGAAGAAAGCTGAAGGAAGGAGCAGGACGTTCCCTTCATGCACAGAACAGACAATAACAGGGCTGATCTAAAAACAGTTCTTTCACATGAACAGAGCAGTCACATGGCTGTCCAGGATGTGAGAAACTATTGATCACTGCAGGCAAAGTTCTTGTTTTTAATCTCCAGTAAGGTCCAAATAAAATCTTATCTGGATGTTGACTTGGAGATTCCATAAACATTCATGTCTTCTTTTTGCTCGGTGGATTTGCTGTGTGCTTAGAATCCCTGTTGATAGGTTCATATCTGATCTTATGGAGATGGAGATTGACTGACATAATTTTTCCACCTCCAGGCTTCACACCTGGTATGAGGTTAGTCTCTTGAAAAGCTGTCAAACATGTCTGCTGCTTCTGTGGCTGAACAACTCTCTCTTTGATTTGTCTGTCCATTACACATTATTGTTCATTGACAAACTGTAGTTTTGATCTGAAGTTGTTTTAAAACAGAAAAGGCTTTTTACTGGAAACCTCCCATGCAGGTCAGATTAATGGAATCTCTTTCTGACTGTAGATGCAGCACTTTGACATCAACAATTCCAATTACCTTCAGATCCTGTGATGAAACTTGGAGACACTTTTTGTATCAAACTGTCTGCTCTTGGGTCGAATGCACAGGGTTGACCAGTCCAGGACAAACTGTTTGAAAACTACACCACTTGTAGATAATATTTCTGAAGTGAAATGATTTATTTCAAATCATTTTGAAATCTTTCTAAACCGACTGCGAGACTCATAGGTCTAGCAATCAGTTATACTCATAGATTTCTTTTTCTGAAGGTCTTAAAGAGCTCTTTAGATCATAGCATATTTTTTATTTATTTGTTTATTTAGATGGGACAGTGCGTATTAATGTACGTACGATCTCAGGTTGCAGTATTTATGCACAAGGCTAATTTCCATCCGCTGTCCCACACACATAAAAGAGAAACACACGTGGATACAATGACATCACATACTACACTTGAGCTGACCTTTGATGTCAGAGGTTAAAATAAGACTGGTTGCATCTGTCACTCACTGAGGAGGTTCTGATCATTGGCACCTAATCTGAAACTCCATCCATCCATCATCTATACACCACTTAATCCTCACTAGGGTCGTGGGGGGCTGAAGTCTATCCCAGCTGACTCAGGGTGAAGGCAGGGGACACCTGGACAGGTCACCAGTCTATCACAGGGCTACACTTAGAGACAGACAACCAAGCACACTCACATTCACACCTACGGACAATTTAGAATCACCAATTCACCAGGACGCAAACCAGCAACCTTCTTGCTGTGAGGCCACCTTGCAGCCCAAATCTGAAACTCACTAAACCTAATTTCAAATTAAACATTAAAATGTGGTGGAGAAGATCCACGGTTCACGTCCCAGTTAGCACGCCGGGACTCTTTCTGCATGGAGTCTCCATGTTCTCCCCGTGCAGCGTGAGTTCTCTCTGGGTTCTCCGGCTTCCTCCCACACAGTCCAAAAACATGTTGAGGTTAATTGGTGATTCTAAATTGTCCATAGGTGTGAATGTGAGTGTGCTTGGTTGTCTGTCTCTAAGTGTAGCCCTGTGATAGACTGGTGACCTGTCCAGGTGTCCCCTGCCTTCACCCTGAGTTGGCTGGGATAGAGATAGATGGATGGATGGATGTTGTGGTGGAATTTGAAACAGAAGGGACTTTGCCTGGAGGAGTGGTCACATTACTGAGCTCAGAGACTGGTGGACAATTATGCAAAACACCTCCAAGAAGTTGTTATATCTAAAGGAGCACTACTACTTCTGAGACCAGACTTTTCAGAGAAGAATATAACATTTACTGATCTCTTTGTTAAACATAAGACAAAAAAAAAAACAACGTTCAAGGAGATTAAAAGAGATTCAAATGTATTCAATTGTTCAAATATGTCAACAACATAAAGTCAACAAATCACATCGTGCCTTACCTTTGGTCCATCGTAGAAATATGCTTTGCACCAAAACATCACTGTTTTTTTCTTCACAACACATTATTAACTCATTGCACACAAAGACCGATACTGTGGTGAACCATTGTGGTGTCTCCGTATAGCAGCCAGAACAACAACCAGTAGAGGTTTCAGTTCCTGAAGCTGCACATCTTTTCTTTGTGTGTATTTCAGGCTAAAAAACTAATCAGCCTTGGGTCCAGGTGTGCCATCACCAGATGTCTGTACTGTAGTGCCATGTACGGACGGCCTTTACTCTGAAAGTCAGCCCTCTGATTTTCCTACAGGGATCACAAGCAGCCTTTAGGAGGCAGCAGCAGCACAAGGAAGTGTCAGCTGTTCAGATATCTGTTGTGATGCTGAATAATGATTCCTCTCAGACCAACAGTCATAAAATACTTTCTCATCAAGTTTAATTGCCAGAAGGAATCATCTGATTGCCTCCACGTTCAGTGTGGTTAACATGGAAGTAACATTTGAGCTTTCTTTTATTTTTTAGCTCAATAATTTATAAATTTCTATATAATGGATGAGCAAAGTCAGACTGTTCATTTTAGTACTTAATGGTTTAACTGAGCTGTAGTAGTGTTTGTCCTCTTCACCTCCAGCCTCGGTATTTCTTAGTGAAATGTCAGTACATCCACTTTAGGTGTTTCACCATAGTTAACTCATGACATCCTGGCCCAAGGGCCTGGGTTTGCTGCGTATAATTAACTTTAATTCTCCTTGTTGTACATTGTTCTAGTATCCTAGAACATCCAACACAGGTAAGTTCATCTAGATCCCGTTTCCCTGCTGCCCTGGATTCACACTACAGGACATAATGGAATGTGGATACAACACATATCACTTGAGAAGCATTTGACCAGTGCTCAGAATGAAGCATTGCCACAGTGATGTATTAATGCACCACATCCACTACATGTTCAGCACAGTTGAACTCATCTTCTTTGATTTGTGGGGAATTCTGTACAGCCTGAGTGACGTTGTACCCAACAGGATTTGACAAATAATTCAGAAGCTACACTGTTTTTCCACAGGTGTATGGACAGAGATACTTGTAGGTCTCTTTCCCACTAGGATCAGAGGTTTCTGCAATACTGGAAAAACTGTGCTGGGCAGCTAAGGAGCAGGAAGCTGTTCCAGCCAACACTTCCCTCAGTAGGTCTTTCCAAAAGGTGGCCACTTTGAGGGCCGGGATCAGTTGAAGACTAGTAGGCAGGAGACCAGCAGGCCTGAGGATTGGAAACTGGATTCAGATGATATAGACCAGGCTAAACTACATGGCTTAGTGACTGGAGGCCGGTTGTCTCACAACCAGCATCAGGCAGGAGGCTGGCAACCTAGAGAGTAGGACTCTACTAGGAGGTCTATTGCTTTCAGGCTGAAGGCTAGCAGACCCTATGCTAGGCTTATCTTTGGGTTTATCGGATGAATCCCTGAGATTAAGTCTTTCAATCACAATCAAAACACATGTTCCCAGCTTTATTTCTTTCATGATTGTGTGCCATCTCTCTAGTCACTCACCTCCTCTGACTCCTCCATCAGGAATCCTGTGTCTGCTGAGTCCATGCTGGCCACAATGTGTTGTCACACTTCAGGCTGTAGAACCCAAAAGCTCAACACAGGAAACAGCAGGTAGAAGAACAAACAGGTTTAATAGCTGCTAAGGGTTCCTTACAGAGCTGCATAACCAGGCAGAAAGAGAACCGTGGAGCAAACACAGGCCGGGATAAATCCTGCAGGGCCCTCATAAACTGTGAGCAGCAAACAGGAGGCCGGACATGGAGAGAAACACTGAGGACCTCTGCTGGATGGTGATGAACTAACATGGAGCAGAGCAGAGCTGTGTCAGGAATAAGACAGTTTCTTTAGCTTGGTCACATGAAGCCTGATGTGCATCCATCCATCCATTATCTATGCATTACTTAATCCTCACTGGGGTCATGGGGGGCTGGAGTCTATCCCAGCTGACTTAGGGTGAAGGCAGGGGACACCCTGGACAGGTCACCAGTCTATCACAGGGCTACACTTAGAGACAGACAACCAAGCACACTCACATTCACACCTACGGACAATTTAGAATCACCAATTAACCTCAACATGTTTTTGGATTTTGTGGGAGGAAGCTGGAGAACCCAGAGAGAACCCACGCTGCACAGGGAGAACATGCAAACTCCACACAGAAAGATCACTGGGATGCGAACCGGCGACCTTCTTGTAGCGAGGTAGCGACGCTAACCACCGCAGCCCCCTGATGTGCATTTTAACTAATAAAAACAACAGTTATAAAGGTGCAGCCTGTGACATTTATTGTGCTGGAAAAATGAACACCAGATACTTTTGCTTTCAATGTTCTCCCCTGTGGTGCTTATTAAATGAGCAATAAATGTTACAGCACAGGAGACTGCAGTGGAACCAGATGGGCAGCATCATGCCTTCAGTTGCTCCTCTCACTGGGGTCCATGAATGCCAGTTCACCGTGTGCTGACTGCAAGCAAGCGCCAATTGTTTCTGTAATAAATATGTGCTGTTGTTGATGACTGGCTGTAACAGCATCTCTCTCTGTGTCTCAGGTTTTTACATTAGCCGTGAACGGGAAAATGAGGACGTAAATGTTAATGATTTTGATCAGTCTGAGTTCCTCGTGCTGGATCGAAGCGTGCTGACACACACAGCTCCTTTCTTCCTTAATGTAGGAAACACCCACTGCACATATTCATCTGTAATGTTTTGTAGTTTCTGATGATCTGTTTCAGTTGTTTTCCCTCAGTGTCTCTGCTCCAGATGAATCCCTGCCGTGCTGATGTTATGGAGGGAAGACTGGGAGGAGCACCAGGAGAATGTGGACTAAAGAGAGATCCTCCCCAACATGATGGAGCATCTTGATGTTTAATCAGTCAATCCTGAAGACTTGGGAGGCGTGCCTGGATGTTTCAGCCCTCTGCTCTCATGATGTCCTAATCAGCAGTAAGGAGGCAGCAGTAATCAGGACCATCGTAAATTAGTTTGACCTTTCAT